TCTTACCTGATAAGAAAGCAGCACAGAGAAGTTAGGTAATTTGTTCAAGGTCCAGCAGCTGGTAAGGATCAAAGCCAAGACTCAAACCCAGATTTGTCTGGCTCTAACACCATGTCCTCTGTACCACACGATCATGAACTCAGATTTGTGAGACAATGTCCTTGATTGACTTGTGCAATTTTGGACAGGTCAGTTTACCTCTCTGGGCTTCGGCCTTCCCCTCTGTTAAGATAAGGGGTGTGGTCTGTCTCTGTTCTTTCCAGCTTGGACTTTCTGTGATTCTCTTGGAAGCCTCAGATAATGCTGTGGTCAACAGTACCTGGTTAATTGACAGATAAGATAAGCACTGGAGGTAGACATAATTACCAAGCCCCATGTTTTCAACTAAATAAGAACTATCTTTCTAGAATGTTCTACCTCTTTCACCGAGGTACAAAGTTATTTGTAGCTGGATGTGAATAGGGTGGACATTCCTCTGCCTGGCTTAGTGTACTCAGGGTCAACAGGATGCTGTGGAAGGGGCTCAGAACAGAGGAACCCAGCGTCGCCACCAGGTAGGGAAAGATTAGAGCATTCACTGTGCCCTGGGGCCAACTTGCTGGCACTGGACAAGAGCTTCTAATGTGAGTGACTTGGTTTTGGCTTGTTGGTCGCCTTTTCCCCACCAAGGCAAAGCCTGAGACCCCTAAGCCGTCCATTCAACCACAGCCTATCACCCTCATGGTGCTGCCCTTGGGGTTTATTGTCACCAGATCCCTCCTCCTGCGTGGACACAAATGCACAAGGAGAGGCCAGCAGACAGTAGGTCTTCTGGGCTCACCCTCCACTGGGATGGCTAAAGAGCATGGCCCTCACCTCCTACCAGGGCCAGTCAGGACTGGAAGTTTGGATAGACCATGGCCACCTTCCTTCCACATGACACCCAAACTTCTTAGCCCAAAGAGTGCCCTAGTCTTGTCACTTCCAATCTCCTCCAACCTCAGATACCTGAGACCTTTATACAAAGGCTGCCTCCAGTTCTGAGTCTCTGATCTCTTTCCTGGCCAGAGGGCAGGGACCCCAAAAGATGGTGTCCTTGGATACCAGGCTGGGCACCTCCCAGCTACCATCATGGAACTGGGCATGTGAAACCTGGCAACAGTTTTGAGCAGTAGCTCACAGAAGGGTTCCCATTACTGAGCAGCCAGCAGAGAGCTGGATTCTAAATACTTGAGAAAGGGAACCAGAACACAGAGATAAGAGGACTTAGAACCATGAGGAACCTGCAGGGGGTGGGGGAGTGGGAGAAGATGTGGTGTAGGGGGGCAGTGCCTGTGGCTCAAGGAGTAGGGCGCTGACCCCATATACCAGAGGTGGCGGGTTCAAACCCAGCCCCAGCAAAAAAAAAAAAGAAGAAGAAGATGTGGTATAGGAGGATTTTCTCAGCCAGTGAGCACGTGGCATGGTTGCCTCTTTTTTTGTTGTTGTTTTTTTTTTTGAGACGGGGTCATGCTCTGTCAGCAGGGCTAGAGAGTACAGTGGTATCATCACAGCTCACTGCAATCCCAAACTCCTGGACTCAACGCATCCTCCTGCCTCAGCCTCCTGAGGAGCTGGTACTACAGACACCTGCTGCCATGCCTGCCTATGGCTTTTTATTTTATTCTCTCTCTCTCTCTTTTTTTTTTTTTTTTTGTAGAGATGAGGTCTCACTATTGCCTAAGTCTTGATATTGCCTAGGCTGGTCTCAAACTTCTAGGCTCAAACAATCCTCCCACCTCAGTCTCCCAAAGTATTAGAATTACAGCTTCGAGCCACCGTACATAGCCATTCCTCTGTTTTCTTGTGACCCCTGTAGCTGCCCGAAGGCCCTGAGGATGCAGCCCAAAGGGAACTGTCTGATCTTCTGTGCAAGTCTTGCTTTGAACCTGTTAAAATCTTCCAAAGAAGGGAATTCCCTTGGTGCTTTTCAGAAGTTCAGGCTTTTAATCAGTTCCTTTAGTGAACTGCTATAGGACAGACAGGCATAGAAAGCCTTTTCTTGGCTAGGAAACTGTGTTGACTACACAATAAGCCTTCCAAAAACCAGAGATAAAAATAGATCGTCTGTCTCTTCTGCTGAATAGTGTGAGAGGCCAGAAGAGAGAAGTGGGGCTGTAAACCTCTTTCATTATCTTGGGGAGGGAGTGTCTTACTTGTTGGTTTATTGATAACCATGGAGCGCAAAGCTGGAAGGACATCCAGGACAAGGACTTCCAAACTGCAAAACCTCAGGGTTTGGGGAGGTCCCGGGAAGGTCATCATATAGATTAAGTGAAGGGCCAAATTCACCAGGGCTTCTCCTCCCCAATTTTGGCCAGAGAAGTTCTGCTTTAATCCGTCTATGTATTAGGGTCTGTCAAAGTAATCCCACAGCTAAAGAAATGAGTGAGGCTAGTGCCTTATTTCACAAGGAGAACAAAACAAATGAATGAAAAACAGGATTCAGAGAGACCGAATGATATGTCCATAGAAGTGAACGCCTGAATCAAGATGAGAGCCTGGTTCACACAATATTTTCCCGGAAAACAGTTCCTTAACACTGCCAAGTGCAAGACATTTTGCTCTAGCGAAGAAGTACCATATGGGACAGACATGGTTACTGAACTCCAAGGAACTTAGGCTCTAATGGAGCTGAAAATTTGGTTCCCTGAATACTCCATGGTTTACTCATGTTCAAACAATGGAAATGCTGCACAGCCCCGTAGCTTTCCATATTGATTCAGTCAGTCCATCCAGACCTGGGCAGGTGTTCTAGAAAGTTAGTACTGCTGACACACTTCTGGGTTGACAATTACAATTATTTCCTCCAGCACTTTGGTTTCCATGTCTTCTGGGTGCTACTGAGAAGTCACGTCAGTCTAATTGCCTTCTGCTTGTAGGTGAAATTCATTTTGTCTCTGGCTGCTTTTAAGATCTCTTGGTCTTTGGTATTCTACCATTTCACGGCAGTGGATGGAGGTGTGTGTTGTATTTTATCTATCCTGCTTGGGATTCACTGTAACTTCCCCTGAAAGTATTAGTTTGCTTATTTTTTTTATTTTTTTATTTATTTATTTTTTTTCTTATTGAATGGTAACTATGTACATTAATGCACTTCTGGGGTACAGTGTGGGGTTTTCACATGCAATCTGAAATACTTCCATCAAACTGCTCAACTCAGCCTTCATGTCATTTCTCAGTTATTGCTTTAAAACGTTCACATTCTACTCTTAGAAAGATTCACCTGTACCCCTATAAGGTAAACCTCAGAAGTAATCCCTCCAAACCCCCTCCCAGTTTGCTTATTTTATCAGTTCTGGAACATTTATAGCCATTGCTTCTGTATATAGTGCCTCTTTTCCATTTTCTAACGTCTCTGTATTAGGATTTTAATTATCTGCGTGTTAGACCTGCTCGTTCCATCCTCCATGTTTTGTATTTCTCTTTTCTGTTTTCCATCTCCTTGTCTCTTTGTGCTTAGTAATTTCCTCAATTCTGTTTTCTAGTTTATTAATTCTCTCTTCAGCCATGATTAGTCTGTTACTTAATTACCAGACATTTAGTGTTTTACTTTAACAATCATTTCTCACCTCCACCAGTTCTGTTTGTTCTTTTTTCAAATCTTCCCTTCCCTGATTGCCAAGCAAGGCCACCTTTCACATTTGCTTACGACTCCTTACTGCCATCTGGTTTCAGCTCGGGGCTTAGTTTTAGTTTGCTGAGGCTTTGCAGGGAGGAGGGGGTATGGGGAGTAGACTTTGGAGATTTCCCTTGCACCTTGCAATTTTCACAATGTGATAAGAAGTATATTCTCTCCAGGATCTCTTCGTCTTTGAGTGAGTTGGCCGGTATGAGTATGTAGTCAGCCATAATGCTGCAGGGACAAGACTCCATTTAGTTTTTAAAATCCTGTTTATGGATTCCCTGTGCTGCTGCTTTTGATCCTGACGCCTTCGGGTTTAAAGTCCTGTCATCTTGTTCCTCAAGAGATCTGACAGGCATCAAATGAGAAAGAAACAGATGAGAAGCACAAGTTAAGCTTTGTCTTCCAGAGAGCATTTCTAGACTGTCTCTTGCTAAAGGAGGCTATGGCCTGGCTCTTTTTAATCCTGTCCATCTCTGTCCATTTTTCTTTTATCTCTTCATATGATGATAAAAGTCTTTACGTTTGGGACAGTTCTAGTCCTTTATCTTTGAATGGCACTTTACAGATTGCAAGATACATGTACACTGACTTACCTGATCTTCTCAGCAGCCCTCTGAGCAAGGAATGATTATCTCCATTTCCGAAGAGGATGCTGAGGTCCAGAAAAGTCACTGTGCCTTATGAACCTAAAGTCTAGTCATCAGGACCTTCACACGTACCTCCTGGCTCCAAACCCATTGCTTTCCCCCACTACACCTGCTTTCCAGGGGAGAGAAATTAAAACACACTCAATGGTTCATCCCTTCACCCATCTAATATTTACTGACCATCTGTTATGTGCCAGGCACTGTTCCAGGTGTGAGGGTATAGCTGTCAGCAAAATCCTTGCCCTTATTACAATCTAGTTGGTGGCAGATAACAAATAAACAAACAATAATATAATGCTAGGGAATGATTATTGCTATGATGAATAATAGTATCAGGACAGGTAAAACAGGGTTCTGGGGGGCATGTAGGGCCGAATGGATGAAATGAAGGAAGGGGTCCTGGGAAGAACCAGGAGGAAGGCATCCCAAGTGACAGAAGGCCTGAGGCAGAGGACCTAGTGTGTTCTAAGGATAGCTGAAGGGCTCTATGACCAACTGTACAGACCCTGCAAAGGGGATAGTGGTGGGAGATGAGCTGGAAGAGGCAGCTAGAAATAGCTTAAGGAAGATCTAAGGAGAGAGTCTAAGGAAGGGAGATGGGTCTGGGCCCACTGGCCCTTGGAAGTGTGTGTTTGTGAACGCACAGTGTGAACTGATGCACACTGGATTTTAATAGATCGCCCTCTATTCCCTGGTTTTTTTCACAGGCTTACAGATTTTCTCAGCTTCCCGAGATGGTCATGGGCTCACCCCCTCCACCTGTACCTCCCCGCACTGGCCCTGTGGCTGTGGCTTCTCTCAGGCGGTAACACATTCCTTTCTTTGCTTTGTTTAGACTATTTGGAAAAGATTTGGTCCTGTGTACACTGACCTGATAACAGTACAGCGAATTCCCTCCATCTATTGCCCATTGAGGTGTATCACCCAGACAGGAAACCAAGAGTCTGGGGGTCCCCGGATGGCATGAAGAAAGTAGGGACATCAGAGGGTTGGCCTTCGTGTCTCTTTAAATAGAAAGTTCTTGAGAATTCACAGAGAAGTTCAAGGTCAACTGTCTCACACCTTGAAAGCCCCATACCCTATCCTTGAACATCTAAAAATTATTCCAGCTCAGGCCTCACAGTAGCGGCTATAAGCCCCCCACCACGTTTGCACACCCAGAAGTCCCTCTGCTATTTAAGGGTGGTATCTGAGAAGCCAGGAAAGGGCATGCCTGGGCACCTGCACCAATTTTGACATCCAAGAGGGAGAAGCTGAAAACACAGTAACTCAGATGTCTTCTTGTGAACACACACACATGTTTAACATTCCTTTTGCTTTATAACAATACAATGATCCCATGTTTCAATAACAATAGACTAGAAATATAACTCCATGAGCACTGGGACAGGTAGGGAACTATGCCCTGGGACATGTAGGGACCACGGTCCTGCCCCAGAGTATTAGTCACACTCCATCTATGGACCACAGGTTTGGACATTGTGAAAACAAGGAGGAAAAATATGAAGAGACACTGACTTCATTGCCAGTGGTTTCAAATATGGAGTTATGTAGACATCACCCTTGATGCCAGCTGGACCCAGGTGGCATAGAAACCAGAAGGCTGGGGCCAAAGTCCCCGACCTGCCAGGCACCTGTTGTGTGGCCCCAGCGAGTTGCCACATCTCTCCAGCCCCTATTTCTTTATCTATGACATGAGCACAATGGCCTGATGATGTGAAAAGCTCTCGGATTCCTCAGAAGGGGTCTCAGAAAAGTGTATGGAGCAGAGGTCAGAAATTTTCCAAAAGGGTAGCAGTTGCCAGGAGCAGCACGTGGGAAGCCAGGACTGTGGGAACAAGGTAGAGAGAGAGGAGGGAGGAGAAAGGAAGGAGAACCCCCCCAGCCCTGAGCACCTACCTGTCGTACAGTCAAATCATCATCACGGCCTCCACATTTAACCCTCCCTGGGGAGCAGCAGGGGCTCCTCCGTGACCCCTGAGCGTACTGGATTGGAGGGGCTTCCATCAGCCATTTGTGCTGGGTGGGCTGAAAGCCAGCATCGACTTCTTATTTCTTCTCTCCACCACCAGTCTCCTCCTGTGCCCTTTCATACCATCTGCCATCCTTGCCACCTATCAGGGGGTCACTGCCCTTCACATAAACTAGAGGATTAGCCAGGCAGGAACCTGCGAGGCAAGGTCAGCCGTCCTTTTCCTTTTACAGGCAAGGAAACGGGCTTGGAGGAGGAAGGCGGCTAGAACCCAGCCCTCTGTGTCCCATCCTCTCCCTTGCTGGGGCTCCCTTTTGCTCCTGTTGTGACAGCTCCTCTGCTCAGAGTGTGGCCCTGTGGGCTGGCAGCCTGCCATTTGCTACAGCTGCCTTTGCCTCCCTCTCATTTTAATTTTAGGGGAGCCTGAGGTCCCTCTGCAAAACTGCCTCAGGCAAAGGGTGTTGCCCTGGAGAGAAAGCAGCCTGTGGTGGCAGCACCCTTAGACTGGGGAGGTGCCTCATCTGCGGAGCCAGGCTGCCTCTTCTTAGCGCTTTTCTGAGCACTAAGTGGAAATAGGATGTGTTAAATGGGCCTGATTCTCTGATTGCCCATGGGACCACAAACAAAAATAAGTTATCTTAGTCATAATGTCCACTGCTCCCTGGAGCAGCCTAAGCTTCCCTGTCTGGGGTTTGTGCTTCCTGCTGAGGGTTGCAGGGAGTGTGCTGCGCCCGCACCAGCCATCAGGTTGGTTTTAGTGTCAGTGAGACGGGAGCCTCTGAACTCCCCAGATGGAGCTTCTCATTGGCTGCAGATGATGTCATCTCCTCCCAGGTGGACCATCCCCAGCTAATTCCCAGCCTAATTGCTTTGCTTCTTTTATATGGAAATTAAATGTTCAACCACCCAGAGGCTGGAGAGCCACCCCTAGGGGAGAACTGACCTTGATCATCTGACAATGATTCCAGCTCAGACCAGCACGGTGGCTGATACCAGTCTGAGCACCTCCTGCAGTGTTGGCATCCTGCAAGAGGCCTTTGGTTACTTTGGGGCATATCCAGTCCTGAGGACCCTATCCTCGTGGGACTTGGAGGCAGCTGCCCACTCCCACAGGTGATGGGCATGTTCCTCGGGCCCTGCCCTGCCACTAAACACAGCCCCTCTGCCCTGCCCAGGTCCACCTCAGACATCGGCAGCAAGACCAGGATGGCCGAGTCCTCGGGGCCTGAGCCGGCCCAGCTGCATGACAGCACCTCCTTCGCGCAGGTGTCCAGAGGCCCCGTGTCTGTGACGCAGCTGGATCAGTCGGCTTTAAATTACTCAGGTGGGCAAGAGATGAAAGGTTTGGACGAAAGCTGCTGTCCTCTCGTCCACCCAGGCGCCCCAGGCCCTCTCTCCTTCCACCTGTCACGCTCAGAAATCAAAGTCATTACATTTCTTTAGTAGCCCACTGAAGAACTAATGGTTTTATTTCTGGAAAAGATTAAAATCAGGCAAAATTACCAAGTTATGCAAAAGCCAAGGAGTATGTTAACATGTTGCCAGATTTGAGTTTGGTTTTTTGTTTTATCTTCCAAGCATTCCAGATACAGTTATCCACCCTCCTCTCCTTCACTTTCTACCAAAAGGTAAGCAGAGTCGTCAAGTCACAAGTTTTAGTCTTTTGCGTCGTGTGTATGTAACAGTCTATATTCATATTCTATGCATTTTGAATTTACAGTAAGTAATATCGTGCTATACATTTCTTTTTGCACTTTGTTTTCTCAATTTAACATACATTTTCAAGATTTCTCCAGGTTGTTACACACACACTGAGGAGATCTAGGTCATTCATTTAAACTGCCATATGGTATTCTGTTACGCGATGAGCCACAGTTCATCCATTGCCCCGCTAATGGACGTAATGATTGTTTCCATTTTTTTGCTATTATGAACAATGCTGAAATGAACATTGAGGTTTGTACATGACCTAGTTTGTTTTTTAGTTTTTCGAACTGTGCCTTTTAGGCTAAAACTGTAAGCACCCTCTTGCCAACACTTAAGCATCCATAGTGTCCAGAAATTCCACCAGTGAAGTTCATTCTTCTTGGTTCCTTTTCTTGGCTTTAAAAAAATGCACATCCTCCTGGGAAAAAAACACCTGGACATTTCTCCTTGTTGGCAGATCAGAGATGTTTGAATGGGACAGGTGTGGGAATTGGTGAGTCCTCAGCAGGGGGCACTGAGCTAACACTTCCCTAGAAAGCAGAGCCTGCAATGAAGCCCTCCTGTACTGACCAGCTGGTGAGCAAGGCTGGGCTGCACGTAGAGGTCTGCTGCTCCCCACTGCCTTCTAGGACTTTGTCCTCTCATCTCCTATGCAAGGCCAAGGCCAGAGTCCTCTGTTTCCCCAGCTTTCCCCAGCTTGAGCAGATGCAGGCCCAGTAGATAAGGTGCTGTCTGGGCCCACCACTCCCTCTTTGAAGGATGGGAAGATGGGAAGAGTCCAGAGCACTAGGAGCCCATGCTGCCTTTGGTGAAATTCAAAATTGGTTTCCCACCCCTGAGCAAGTGCAGACCCAAACCCTGGCAAAGAGAAGGCAGGCTAGACTTAAGTCCCACTTGGCTTCTAGGCCAGGTGGCCTTGAGCAGTGCACCACCTACCCAGCTGAACACAGTGGCCTTAGAAGAGTTCCACAAAGATCAGAATACCAGGTTCATTCTGCTGCATCCCTCCCTCCTCTCTGTTGCTATGTCACCTGGGTCTTAGACCCCATCATAAGGTTTAAACCATATGACAGTTTAAATGAATGAACTAGATCTGGACAGTATGTGGGTAGCAACCTGGAGAAATATTGAAAACAGTGTTAAATTGAGAAAATAAAGTACAAAAGGAAATGATAGATACCACTAATATACATATACTTAAAATACATAAAACATTAATATGGACTGTTTTATATATGTACATGTGAAGCAAAAGATTAAAACCTACAACTTGAGGACTGTGATTACCTTTTGGGAGAAGAGGAATGAGAGAGGGTGGATATGGTGGCGCCTGTAGCTGAATGAGTAGGGCACCAGCCACATATACCCAGGCTGGAGGTTTCGAACCTGGCCCAGGCCAGCTAAACAACAATGACAACTGGAACAAAAAATAGCCAGGCATTGTGGCACCTGTAGTCCCAGCTACTTGGGAGGCTGAGGCAAGAGAATCACTTAAGCCCAAGAGTTTGAGGTTGCTATGAGCTGTGACACCAGGGCACTCTACCAAGGGTGACATAGTGAGACTCTGTCTCGGAAAAAAAAGAGAGAGAGAAAGAGAGGGTGAATAGCTGTATCTGCAATGCTTTAAAAATAAAACTAAAAACCAAACTGAAGCCTGGCAAAATGACAACATACATTCCCTTCGATGGAGCTACATCCCCCAGCAAAAGTGATAGCCCAGAGCAAGCACCCCTCAATTCACACTTGATTTACCCTCAACTCAGACTTGATTTAATGAGACTTCACACCAGCAGACAGCCCAGGAACCTGTGAAACTGGCTTTATTTGGCTCTTGCCTGGCAGGATCCCAGAGACCAGACCCCTCACCTGCCCGCTTCATCTCCTCCAGGTAACACAGTGCCAGCAGTGTTCGCCATCCCAGCTGCCAACAGACCTGGCTTCACTGGCTACTTCATCCCGACACCTCCCTCGTCCTATAGGAGCCAGGCCTGGATGTCCTACGCAGGAGAGAATGAGCTCCCAAGCCAGTGGGCTGATTCGGTGAGACCCTTCCTGATTCCCTCCTGAAAACTTCATCTGCTTGACACACATCAGGGAGACAAGGGGATGAAAAGTTGAAACTGAGTGTTTTGTTAGGCCAACCGCACTCCCACTAACCAGGTGGCTAATGTCTGCCATTTTAAAGGAGATGGTGTGGTGAGGCAGGATGTCCTTGGACGGGAGAACTTGACATCTGCCTTCCAGGCCAGGTTCTAACTCTTCCTAGCAGGGCAATCTTAATCAAGTAAATTTTTATAATAAAAGTATCATTTTTGAGTATTTCCTATGTACCAGACACTGTGTTAGATGTTTTATCTATATTATTTAATCTTAACAGTCTCATTGGGTGGGCATTATTATTCCCATGATTAATCCGATTTTGCGGTTGAGGAAACTCAGGCCTAGTTAGGTGATGTGACTTTTCTAAGACTACACAGCTAGTAAGGAGGTACTGAGGCCAGAATTCAAACCTGCACCTGTCTGATTCCAAAGCTTTCATGAAATTTGTTTCTTTTAGCTGTAAAAATTAGATGTAATGTCAGAAAATGAAGCATTAGAAACCCAAGACTGAATTAACTTGCATATAGATTCTAGAACTTCCTGCCTAACTTCTGGCCAAGGACTGTGGTTCCCTGGTTTCTTCCATCATTACAAGTAGGAGTATATGACCTGGCCTAGCCTGTACCAGCCTGGATATTCACAGCCAAACCTGCCTTCTCATGCACCTGTCAAGGGCTGCTGTGTGAAAAAAGCCCAGCAAACAAGAAAAATCCCTGATAATAACCCCTGAAGTGGGTTGCGTAGTCCCTGAGTGACGCCATCTTTCATGAATGAGAAAGGCAGGCTTCCCTCCAGGCTAAACCTGGGTTCATTTTAGGGATTGGTTTCAGCATTTGGAGTAAATCCTACACTTAAGAAACACATTAACACCAAGGTCTGGGTCATCTTTTCTCTCTGTGTAAACCCCTGGGTCCATAATCTCTGCCCCATAGCAACAACTCAACACTGGTGTTAGTGTCTGTTCTCACCCCACACTTAAAATGACAGCACCAGGGATAAGGCTGTCCTACATATATTAATTTTCTTAATGACCAAAGCTTACCCCTTCAATTTCCAAAACATTTAAAAATATATGCCATTTTTCATAAAAATCTTTCTGAACTTAATGATATATCCCCCCCTCCTTCTCTAAAAGTGGACATATTTTGGAGAACATTTAGAAGATGAAAACAATTATAATAAAAAATAAAACAGGATACGACATAATTTCATGAGTGATTCAGCATCATTATGAGCTCTGATGGCCTTGTAGGATTGTTGCCCCATCTCATCAAATATCTCCAAACTACTATGATTGGTAGAGTTGTTATCTTGGCTCAATATAGTTTTTTTTTTTTAAGAGAGGCAGAGTCTCACTTTGTCGCCCTCAGTACAGTGCTGTGGCATCACAGCTCACAGCAACCTCCAGCTCTTGGGCTTAGGTGATTCTCTTGCCTCAGCGTCCTGAGTAGCTGGGACTACAGGCACCCACCACAACGCCTGGCTATTTTTGTTGTAGTTTGGCCAGGGCCGGGTTTGAACCCACCACCCTCGGTATATGGGGCTGGCGCCCTACTCACTGAGCCACAGGCGCCACCCTCAATATAGTTTTTCTTTGTCTGATCTTACTCCCAGCTGGCACTTTATATTGCTGTCAACATACCTACTTCCAGTAATATACTAACCCTTAAACGTGTTTTTGCTAACGTGCTACTATCTGCAAATGAGGCCTGCCTTAGCTTATTAGAATTGTTTATAAAGTTGGAGTAAATAAACTGTAAGGGAGGAACTAGAGGGATTTCCTCCTGTTAAGTCTGTGGATCTTTTTTTTTTTTTTTGAGACGGAGCCTCAAGCTATCCCCCCTGGGTAGAGTGCCATGGCATCACGCTCACAGCAACCTCCAACTCCTGGGCTCAAGCGAGTCTCCTGCCTCAGCCTCCCAAGTAGCTGGGACTACAGGCGTCGGCCACAACGCCTGGCCATTTTTTTTTTTTTTGGTTGCAGCCATCATTGTTGTTTGGCGGGCCCGGGCTGGGGATTCGAACCCGCCACCTTAGGTGTATGTGGCTGGCGCCTTAGCCACCTGAGCTACAGGCGCTGAGCCAAGTCTGTGGATCTTAATATAGGACTTTATGGGATCTCTTTCGGATTGGGAACCTTTTTTTCCCTTGTTTTCATCATTCCCTGCTAGTCTAAACAGCTGATGTCACTGAATATGATCTGATCAGTTCTTCAGAACTTATCTGATTCTATAATTCTACTTTCAGTCTAAAAATTATGGATACTTTTCAGAAAGTAGGAACTGTTTAACTAGACAGTAAGTCTGTGGCTCTGACAGCTCGCCCAATGCATATTCTGTGGGAGTTAGCAGAAGTATTTTCTGAAACCTTGACCCTCACCCTCAAGAGCTAATTTAGCCAGATTGATAGCTACAACCAGGCCTTTGGGTTCATATTGCCTTAAAGAGTAAGGAAAAAGAACACAGCTAATGGAAACCTAACTGGATGGCTCGATAATTCTGAGCTTATACTTTTCAGTGTGAAGGAGAATCAGTTTCCTATTAGTTGCTTTTAATTAAGAGGAAGATGATTGCTGAAGCTTAAATGGGTCTTTCCTGGATCCTAATTACTGCTGGCAGTTAAGTAGGGAGGTGTGGAGTAAGTGAGTAAGGTGATTTACAGCATAGCAAACTAGGTGCAGGAAACTCAGAGGGATTGGCTGTCAGCTTGAGAAAGATTCCCCTTGAAGGCAGTGAGAATCCACACCTTCCACAGCAATGTGAGAAGGAAAAGGCCTCCACTATCATTTGGATGTCTGACCTCCCTGATCCCAAAACTAGCTCAGATAAAGTCACCTGGACCTGGCATAACCAATAGATTTCATCCTTGATGCCAGGTGGAGAAAGATCAGGAAGGGGCTTCTGTGTTCAGCAGGGAAGTGATGTGCTGTGATCAATTGGTAATGTCTGCCTTGGGCATGGGCTATGGAAGGAGTGGTATTTGCCAGCCCTGAATTTTACCTGGCAAAACATTAACATTATTAACATTATGGGATCTAAAAGTCTTTTGTGGACCACCATGGAATAGCATCGTATATATGCCACTGTTGCTGTGGTAGTGTCGATCTTAAATTCCAAGTCATTAACTTTTACTTATTCCTAGGATTTTCCATATCTTTAAGCATAGAACTATGTGTCTTCTGCTTTTTTTATTTATTTTTTTTTTTTCAGATAGAGCCTCAAGCTGTCGCCCTGGGTAGAGCGCTGTGGCATCACAGCTCACAGCAACCTCCAGCTCCTGGGCTCAAATGATTCTCCTGCCTCCACCTCCCAAGTAGCTGGGACTACAGGCGCCTGTCACAACGCCCACCTATTTTTTGGTTGTAGCATCATTGTTGTTTGGCAGGCCTGGGATGGATTTGAACCCGCCAACTCAGGTGTATGTGACTGGCACCTTAGCCACTTGGGCCACAGGTGCCGAGACAGAGAAAATGTTTTCAGGAAACTGAGAGCCTATGCTGTATGATAGACCCTGTAGTGCAGTGATTAATTCCCAGCCCTTGGTGCTAAACAGACCTGTGCAAAGCGTGTCTCAGTGGCTTGTCACCTTATACTGTAATAGTTTTTGCTTCAGTTTCCTCATCTGTAAGATAAGGATAATGGTTCTACATTGCTGCTTTGGGAATTAAATGAAATAATGTATGGAAAGCCCTGAGCATAGGGCTCAGTAAGTGTCAGCAATTTTTTTTTTTTTTTGAGACAGAGCCTCAAGCTATCCCCCTGGGTAGAGTGCTATGGCATCACGCTCACAGCAACCTCCAACTCCTGGGCTCAAGCGAGTCTCCTGCCTCAGCCTCCCAAGTAGCTGGGACTACAAGCGCCCGCCACAACGCCTGGCCATTTTTTGGTTGCAGCCATCATTGTTGTTTGGTGGGCCCGGGCTGGGGATTCGAACCCGCCACCTTAGGTGTATGTGGCTGGAGCCTTAGCCTCTTGAGCCACAGGCGCCAAGCCAGTGTCAGCGATTATTAGTAAATAAAACCCCCCAAGTTCCTTCAAGATCTAAATGGCACCTGTTATTTTGCTGAACTGTGCTTTATATGAATAAGATAGCCAGATAAATTCAGATATAGACTCAGATATATGTTTCTAATGTGTTCAGCAAGGTTTACATTTAAAATACCTATTTAATTCATCCAAACAGCTTATTATTCAATGAGCCCAAATTATCAGTTTTCTAACCAGACTCAATCTGGGTTTTGCATTCGTACAGTCACATGTGGCTTCTGTTTTCTTCTAAGTCCCTTTCTTTGTCCTCAGCCCACTCTCACTTCCAGTATCAAGTGTGTCCTGTGACTTGAGCTCCTTCCTAACACGGGGCTGTTCTCTTCTCTCCCCACATCCTCTGCAGGTGCCCCTCCCGGGGTACATCGAAGCTTACCCTCGGTCACGTTATCAGCAGAGCTCGCCCTCCAGGCTTCCTCGCCAGTACAGCCAGCCAACCGGCATGCACCCCAGCTTAGAGCAGGCCCCGGTGCCCTCCACAGCGGCCTCACAGCAGAGCCTGGCAGAAAATGACCCATCAGACACTCCCCTGACCAACATCTCCACCGCGGCCCTCGTGAAAGCCATCCGGGAGGAGGTGGCCAAGCTGGCCAAGAAACAGACAGACATGTTTGAGTTCCAGGTCTAATGCCTTAGCCCCGTGGGACTCTGGACTTCCAAATTGGAGGAAACAGCCTTTGGGGTTCTCACACCTAACGTGTTGGGACTTCAGACATAGATCATGAGTGAGCCTTTCTCACCTCAGTTTCTGAAAAGGTGGACGATGGGGCTTCTGGGAAATGAAGGAAATTCTTGAATGAACGACTGGATTCTTGGCTTATTCAACTGTGTGTCAAGAAGTCCTTGCTTGGGACCTCATGATTGATATTCAGTTATGTTGAATGTTTGAACTGGGTGTATTTCCCAGTAGAGCCTTCCTTGGTCACAAGAGATACTAGCTAATCTACAGATTCCTGTCCAATGCCATATTTTAATAAATCACTGGAAGGGGGAGAATATAGCTCTTATCTTCGGTGACCCTGCATGTTAACGGTTTCTGTGTTAAAGGCAACACAGGAATGTGGATTAAGCGCCAGACTTTTACTCTCTCCCACTCAGCCATGACTGTGATGGTTCAAATCATCTCTAGTCTGTAAGGAGACACTGACTCCAGCCAAGAAACCTGAGTCCCCTTTTTTCAAAGTCAAATGAAATTGGATGAAAGTCAGTACCAATGGCTGCGCCTATAAATAGTCCTGACTCTTTCCCCCATTAATTAAAAAGAAGCTCAAGAAGGAGAGAAGAAGAGAGGGAACGGTGGATTTGTGTCGACAGGCTTTTTGAAAGGTGTTGTCATGTTGGAAATAGAGCGCCCCACAAGTTAGGATCTGACTGAAAGAGAATCGGTGCTAAGAGCTTTTAGGATCCTACAAAAGAAAAATAGTTATTTGTGGAGGTTTTTCATCAGCTCGCATTGAAGGTGGCCTGAGAATGGAGCTTCTCTCTCTCTTTGGGGGGATAATAGATACATTGCCTTTTACAAGAAAATCTCTGTCTCTTCAACAATAATGTCCAGCAGGTGCTGCCAAGCACTACAAAAGAAAATGGTAATTGATTCCTGTTAGAAATGGGAGCGGTAGATCCACAGTCTTCCCAGGCTGCAGCCTCTGTTTATAGAAGCTTCTGAATGTAGAAAATCTGTTGAATTATGTTTAAATGTAAATAAACTTTTAAAAGGCATATAGGGAGTTAGCCAGTTCCCTATAGTGCATGGACACAGGAGGACAGATGCTAAAGTGGCAGGGCTGCTACCTTGTGACCACAGTGTTGCAGGTCACCCTCGCCGACATGGAGAGTCGCCTGCAGAGCTCTGGGTAAAAGGACGTTGCCTCGTAGCACTGAGGCATCAGCTGCTGCCCACCCAGAAACGTGAGCAAGACAGCTGCTGACTTTGGGTGGCAGAGGGAGATGGGACACTTTGGTTTCCTTACCAACTTGGGAGCCTTATAGTGTTGGGGGCTGACTTGTTGGAGAACGAGGTCATGTCCTGCTTTCACCCATGATCCATTTAGCTTCTGCTGTATCCATTCCCTTCTGAGCCCATCTTTCCATTGTCCTCATGAGTTTCTTTGGTCTTTACTGAAAGAAGAAGGTGGAAACTTAAAAGTTGAGAGAAGACAAGAAATGGAACTGATTAGAATGGGAGATTCAGACTGTTAAAGCACAGACTTTTCAAAGAAGCCGTTTTTATTTCCCAATGGCAAATTGCCCTTTTCGGAATGTTCAGAGATGATGTGTCATGGAATCCCCAGACAGGTCTCCTGTTCGGATGATAATAGGTAGTGTCCTTTTAGTATGCTGGTTGATCTTTCATAGTGTTAGTTTTTTGTTACTTAAAAAGAAATCAGCTATAAATAAAATGTATTTTTGTAATTCCCTTGTATATATATGGTATATTTCTACCAATGGCCAGTTGTTGTAGTCCAGACCTAAATCAGCTTGCAAAACACTGTGGACAGTGCAAGATTTTATTGACAGATTAACATAATGCCTAAGTCTATCCAAATAGGCATTCAATGCACTTGAATGAACAAAGAGCCAAAGAAACTCAGCCTTTTCATGCAAATGGTATGAGTCTGATAAAGTCAGCTACATTGTCCCGCTTTACCGATAATATTAATATCTCATCAGTGCAATGATATCAACCCAGTACTTTGTCTACTTGGTAAATGCCTGGAAATACTGTATGTGAAAATGGAGTGTCAAGATCTTAGTGTAATTGAAATATATATACATGTTTCAAAAGACAGTGTCTGAGCTTTGGGTGTTCTGATGATTTAGCATGAGTCTACAGTTTGCAGAGATCTGGCCCCCAGTTTGCCAAGCAGAAGGAGCCACCAATCACTGTGGTCTTTGCAGAACCCCATGACATAGTCAGCTGAGACCACTAAAAATACACCGTGCTGAATCAGATACTCTCTTAAACTAGACACCATAGGTTCAAAAAAAGTAGAGGAGAATGAAACCTTAAGCTGAAAAGAAATCAGTCTGTTCATGTTTTCTCACTAATGGGGAGACAGCCCCCATTGTTGGGTTTTCTGTGACTGAGGTGTGGTCCCTTCTCTGAGCAGTCTCCTAACCTCATGGAGGTGACAGATACCTGGATGCTGACCCTGAGAAATAGCAGATGGCCAAATAATGCCTCATGGAAGTGAAAATTGGGTTCCCTGAGAGCCCTGAGGAGGCATCAATGGACTCTGTGTTCCTCTGAACCCTCCAGACAGTCACAGAAGTCACCAAGGACCTTGGTTGACCTGGGAGAAGGAGGAAGGGGAAATCCAGAGAAACGGAACAAGTGACTGGCCCAACAATTCAAGCCCAACCTGCTGACTCTTGATCCAACTTGCTTTCCATCCCATCACGTGGCTTGCAGGCTTGGTCAGTGTCACATTTCTGTGTCTGGAAGTTTAAAAAATACATAAGGGTCATATGAGTGAGTCCATAATGTTCTTGCCAAGAAAATAGATGATTATGTAAGGACCTTCAGATACAGTGTACAGAGGACAATGCCTTTTGTAGCATAATAAACACTTTCAGCACTGGTTTTGATATGGGTTTTCTGCATTTATGCAAAAAGAAATGCACTAATGCACTGTGGCTTTTTTTAGAGAGTACCATCAAGGAAATGGTGTCCTAAGTTCAAGACTGTGGGGAAGAATTCCTCTCTCAGCACCGAGGATCCAAACGGACAGGGAGGCACTGTTTGTCATGGTGAGGTAGCATATCCTGCGCTCTGCAGCCAGGGCTGGGGTGAAGGGTCCAGCGTGCAGGAACATGAAGTCTACTGTGTGGCCTGGTACCCACGAGGTGAGGCCTGTGTCATAACAAGATGGAGCAGGGTGTCTCCTCTTTTGGGGTGGCTTATGTAAGAATCAATTCTCTGGTCCTGGAAGAAGTTTTTATCATGCGTTGGTTAATTTAACAACTCAGTAGATGGGCAGGTAATTTCTGAGTAATCTTGGTAGAAGAAAGGAAGTTGTTAGATCTGTGATTTAAAAAAAAAAAAAAAAAACCTTCTGAGAGAGCATGTAGAAAGGAGGAGGTAAGGAATTTAAACGCCTGACTAAAAGAAATGCTTTTCTCACAGGGAAAAATTAGAGAAATGGATGAAAAAGATTGAAAGATGGACTGCATATTAATGAGCTCTCTTTTTTCTGCATAGCACGCAGGCACTCAACATTCAACGACTAATATAACAAGTATTGTTTTAAAAGTTGGAGGACAGGCTTTGGACTTAATCCTAAATTCCCCCTACCACACACCAGAAGATGATTTGCACTGTCTTTACAAAATACGGCCAAATACTCTTAAAGAAAGATAGTCACTCAGCTGGGAGTCGTGACTGACTGGAGTCTTAAGTGTTGGAAATTAAATTCTGTCATTTAGCCCAACGTGAAGATATTCCAGTCAAGGAGCTTTTGCAAGGACTAGAGACACCCTCAAGCATGCCGGAGCGCAGGGCACAGAGTGCTGAAAGAAGGAAGGACTATTTCATGGACACCAAGTATGGCTCCTGTCCAGGAGGGAGTGGAGGGGACAGCCCTTGCTCTTGCTCCCTGCCGTGGTCTCTTCCCTCACGGGCTTTCATTGATGTTTCTCTCTGCATATCTGCTTTCTCTTGCTTCCCCTGTCCAATTGGCTTTCTCATTAGTATATGTGTAGTAAAAATCCGCCGGGACCCTGTGCACCCCATCTTTGCTCTTCTCTAGCCTCCACTCTGAGATTAGCATCTCTGTGCCCCCTAAGCTAATTTTAGGGGATTGGATTGGCCCAGTCCCTCTGCCTATGGATGAGCCACCTGAGATCAGCTGCTTACCCAGTCAGCTGTGCCCAAGGAGGCAGGGTCAAGTAATATAAGCATGGCCCCCTGATCTGACCCTTTCAGTGTGGGCTTGTGTTGGGGGTCAGCACCTAGAGAAGTGGGCAGGACCTTTAAAAGGAACCTATTACAGACTGGAATTGATCAGTACTCCTGGGATGCCCCCCTGGCAGCCAGTACCAGGAGAGTAATGGTTCTCTAGATACTGCCGCAGAGAGGAAAGGAGTGTCCTTCACTGAAGCATCAGGAGATACACATGACCTTGAAACCCCACCAAACTGGGCGGAACTGCCCCAACCACTTCCCACCCAACCGGTTATTGATATAGCTGCTGGGTCTCAGAGTGATTTCAGACCAAGGCCCAGTTAGCACAATGTCTTGCTCAGCAGATAATAAATACTTGTAAATTGAATTGCATGATCTTAGCTCAGGTGCTATTAATGTGGCTCACGGCCACACGCTTGCATGGATGAGAAAACCGATGGGCCTCTCAATAGAGTCTTTGAAACAAAATTGGTTTCAAGTGAAACTGATATTATTGTGTCTCTGACCTTCTGAATATAATAAGTTAGTGTCCTGAGAAGTGAAAGGTCTCTTGATTTCTTAGGTGAACCGTTACAGAATCCTAGCCTATTGTAAATGCTAAAAATGTAGTGTGTTCCTGAAAAGGACTATTTGGGAAATAGACTTGTGCCCGAAACAAATTCTCAAGATATTAAGTTGCTTTGATTCTGCAGATTTCAAAAATCAGGAAATCTGTGATAAGGCATAATCTGTCTCCATAGATCAAACCCACACTTCAGCGAGAGCCATTATGTAATGAAATCTAAAAATTGATTATTTTCAATCTTTGACCTTGGTCAGACTTTTGCAAATTACAAAGGGAGGCCATCGGTGTATCTTACATAAATTAACTGCGGCTTCACCTTATTTCTCCTCATCTCTTCCTCATGCCTAAACTCACTCCTTATCGCATACACCGAACTAAGTAGAGAAAAGGTTTGTATTAAACAGAATCAGAGAGGTTTATCAATGGACTGGCAACTCTGAAAAAGGTGTAAAAATTCTAGACCTTGAGTGACTCACTTTAGTCTCCGGTTCCTCCTCTGCCAAATGGGTACAACAACAGCTGGACTTCCTACCTCCCCTGGTGGTTGTGAGGAGCACGGAACATAATGTATCTGAAAAGTCTGTGGGAAGGAATTCTTACTAAATTACGAGTTTTGTAACTCAGTTCTAACCAGCAACGTATCTTAGCTCCTCCTAACCACCGAATTAATTTGCATTATATCCTGTTCCATGACACAACTTCTTGTCAAGGAAAAATAAATTCCTAAATTTGGAATTCCCACAAAAGCCAGCCTCCGCTGGACTTGGCCGTTGTTGTTGTTGTTGCCTGTGACTTGGAGGACGTGTAAGTACTTGTACGTGTGCTGTAATTCTGGGTGAGAAACCCAGGCCAGTGATTCTTTAAAACCACCTTAGACACGTTGGGCAGAGTACTGAGCAGAAGCTTGGAATGTAGCTGTTATTTTAATGCTTTGCTTTCTAATTAACTTTGTACATCCTTAGCCTCTGCCGGGAACAGAGTGTTCATATGCTGTTAGAATTTTTTATTGTAAAATAAAATGACAAAAGGCTTTCATACCCCAAAACCTGCCTGCTTCTCATTCTGCCTCTTCCAGACAGTGTGATGGAATTCCCTCCGCTACTGAGCCCCCAAGGACTGGGGTTGCTAAAGAACCCTTGCAGTCCTGGCAGGCCCAGTGTGGTCTCAGAGCCACCCTCGTTTGCAGCATGGGCTTATGGGCCACAGAGAGCTCACTCCTGACCATCCACAGGTCCCAGAGAAGCAATTGCAGTCTCCCTGTGACTTGGCAACTGAAGAAAGATGAATTCCTGGGGTTGATGGGGTCCCAGGGCAGAAGAAGCCACTGTCCACTCAGGTACCTTTCTCAGAGCATAAAGATGTCCCATTAAGGTCAGTAGCTCCCAAGGAGTCCAGGGAAGACAATGGTATGGGACACAGCTCCAAGACCACCTCCCGTTCCCCCTGCCACTCACCTGTGCTAGTCCCAGCAACCCTGAATAGACTTTAACACAATGGGAAACAATTGCTTTGAGTTTTGCTATGCCTCTTAGAGGTACAGTTATGACCAATACTGGTTTGCCTCATTTGGGTACTTTATTTTAACACCATTTCAGTGTTAATGTTGGTACTTGCACAAACCCACATTTGGGGGAGGGTTTGACTCATTGGAATTCAAATAAAGTCTTGTTCTCAGCCTGTCCTCTCTGACCAGCCTTCACTCAACATACAAAAGAGTTTGCTTTTCCTCTGGTGCCTGCTTCATCACTCAACTCCTCAGTGCTGGTGCCTGAGGCCTTCAGGAGACCTGCAGGACCTGTGGAAGCTACATTCTTTGAGGCAATATCCCCAGGAAGCCAACACAACCTAATGAAAACCCAGGCTACCACTCAAACAGCTTGCCACTGGAACATTTGGATTTGGGGCATTGGGACTGCCAGTTAGCTGGATGTTATGCTCAATTT